GCCTCTGCTTCCCCACCCGCAAGTCACCCAGAGTCCCAGGGTGACAGGCGGGGCCTGAACCCCCTGCCCTGGCCCCCGCAAGCCGGCGTGGCAGAGGGACACACGGATGGGACGAGCCTGCGCCATCACTGGAGCAGACGCCCTCCCGCGGGCCGCTGCAGCCAGGGCTCCGGGCCGCACGGGAGCACGTTCTGCAGAGGGCGCGGGCTCTTCCTGGCACATGCTGCCCTGTACCCAAATCCCCCCAGAAGCGCCGCTCCGTGATTGACAGCACGGGTGCCCCTCGCCCTCTGACTTCTTGCCCAGGCAGGGCTGCTGGGAAGACGGATGCATTCCTGGGGAGAGGATCTGAGGACCCCCGGGGCCTGCGAGACCCCCCACCTGCCCGGCGAGGGCCCCGGCGGCCTCTGTCCGCCACTTTGAGCCCATGCTTCTCCCGGACTCAGGAATGCAGCTGGACAAAAATACCAGCAGACGGATGTCGTCAGGCCCGGGCTGGCCGCGGACTTGGAGCCGCCGGTCCGCAGGCCTGACCGCACAGCTGGAGCATGGCCAGGAGTGGGGAGAGGGCAAGGAGGGGGCGTGGGCTCCAAGCCGGACACCAGGTGACCCTTTCGTGAGCATGTGTCCCTCTTGGGTATTGGCTGAAGGTCAACACCGCCCCCAGCGGCCCTGCCCACTGGCTCGGACCCTCCAAAGCCCGGGAGCCATGCGACCAGCATACAAATGCCCCGCACAGAGCCCAGAGCGCTGGAGGCTGGAGCCCGAGATCCAGGTGCGGGCTGGTCCCTCCGAGGCCTCGCTCCTGGGCGTGCAGACAGCCGTCTCGGGGCGCACGGCGCTCCCTCAGTGCGTGTGTGCGTACTCGTCTCCTTCCAAGGACACTGTCAGACCGGTGTGGGGCCCGCCGGCGTGAGCACGTTTCACCTGAACCACCTCCTTGAGGACCCCATCTCCAAACGGTCACTTCCTGAGACGCTGGGGGCCAGGGCTCCAGCATACTTTTTTGAGGGGCTTCATTCTACCCAAACAGAGGGCAGCTGAGCAAACCCACGTGAGCGCACGTGTCAACACCTCCGGCACACAAAACGGCCCCTCCCGTCACCCCCTCGCCCGCTGGGGCCCCGCAGTGTCCGTGTCCCAGCCCCCGCTGCTCGTATGCAGGCCTTCCTGTCAGCGCTCAGCGGCCCCTGACGCCCCCCACATCTGCCCTCCCGGGACAAAGCCCCCCGGCCCTCCCGCCCCT